TGTGTGTGTGTGTGTGGATAAGTAGTTGAAGCTATTAAAAATATGAACTATATACTTACATTTAGATTAGACAAATTTATTTTACGAACTAAAAAACACACTCATTACTTGGAATGAAGAGAGAATTAAAACATACACAATGAAGCTTAGCAAAAATAATCTCTCGTATTAGCAATGAAAAAAGTGTGCAATTTATTTGCACTTGTCTACCCATGAAAATAATCAAGATAACTCTATATAAATAATGTAATACAATTATTTCTACCCATGTAATTAAAAATTTATTGTAGATGCTTCATCTAGCTTTTCATGGTCGATGTCACTCTGTAAATGTCAAAATACATTTTCAATAAAGGAACTTACTATATATGTTCGATTACTATATATGTATGTGTGAAACTTTCCACGTATAAATTTTTTAAGCACAAAAGTCAAGTTTTTAAGTATCGTGAAAGGCTCAATGAAATAACAAAGTCATTGTTCGCGTATTTCTCACATTAGAAATCAAAATGTCGGAAACTTTAACAATTGTTCATGTTATGTGTACATGACGTTGGCTTCTCTGAATATACAAGCGTACTTCGAATAGACAATGTACGTTAGGAAAATGTATATGACTGGCTGTGCTCGACTTTGTACATGGAAAAACGATGCAACTGGAGAAATACGATTTGCTTGGCCAAATTATAAACCGCATAATGCTGACGTTGCGCATAATAATTCTTGTAAAGCTAAGTAACATATCTAATAACATGAATTAAATTACAACATTGGTCTTTCATAATAAATGAAGCTGTGTTTATCTATCTTCGTTATTTGCTCGGATCTACTTTTTAAATAAGCGGCAGTAACTATTTTTAGATGAGTCCACAATATATTTTACTACCGATAGCCTAATTCTTCAATTACATAAATTTTCCATTTTACTCCATTCATTTGTACATATACCCAAACCCATGTAATTTAACGATATGTATGCGCGCGCGCGTGTGTATGCGCGTGTATGTGTATGTTTATAGAGTGAACAAATTTTTTCGACTTAAATTATCTTCAATCTTAGAAATTTCCTCTATGACATTTATTAAATATTTGAAAATGTTGGAGAAATTTAAGAATATTGCAAATAAAATGCGAATATAATGAGTATTATTATACATATTATTTATTAAAATAGCAAATATTAATCGTCACATAACGAAGAATGAAAAAGCTATAAATAATAGAATATAAATAAAAAATTCCGTGATATAATTAATTTAATTGGATCTTACAGATTCCAATGTCAGATCGAAAGTAAATTAAAGTTGAACTCGAAAATAAAATAAGTCCTCTTGACGTCATCATTTTTACATTGATAAATCTATTTTCGTTATAATACTCGATATGGGTATCATGACATGGAAAGCTCAGGGAAATCGATTTCTAAAGTCCCATCGGATGCATCAAAGTTCCTTTACATGTGCCTCGTGCATAACCGACCTCCGTTAATCGATATGGGCGTCTCGGAGCGACATCAGCACTGCAGATCTGATCAATTTGTTACTAAATAATCACCTCAGCGATTAAATAACTACTACATATGGTAAAGATTGATCTTCGAGATCGCGAACGTTCGAATTTTAATTATTACTTTACTAGGTTAAATAATCATAGCTTGTTTTTCGATTGGGGGAGTTAACATTCTCGTGACTTGTTAGAAGGAGAGAAATTTTCAGGTTTAATAAATTTAGATGTTAAAGATAAAGCCAAGTATCCCTATTGCATTAAGTAAGAAATTAATTGATTAAATTTCTACGTCTATTAGGAATCATTAATGGTACATAAAAATGTGACTTATCTTGTAAGAATGTGATAATGCAACATTATGGAATTAATGAAATATTTTCTTGATATTCCTTATAATTACGGAAATACAATTAAAAATTGTAGTTACGAGACAATACGATGAGAAAATTAATTAAATATGACTAATGACTAATAAATAAAGAAAATGTACAAAATTTTTCGACTGATGTCATAGGTAATTCCTTGTTCAATTGTATAGATTAAGCAAACATTGTGTGATAAAATGTGACGATAATTTGATCGATAATGTTATATAAAATATGTTGCCTCAACTATTAATATAATTGTTGAAAATGCTAAATATATCATTGTGCAATATGTATGTACAATAATCCCGTTTACATTTATGAAACACTGCAAAACAACATTAGAAATCCAATGGCTTAACGCGACGTTTCAATGATCAATATTAATAATAACCTTAAACCGTATTAAATATATTATGTTTTTAGCATAGAATCCAAAATATAATGAAGAAAAACATTATAAAAAAATTATCATATAAGTGTATGATATAAGTATAATACAATATTATTGTATTATTGTATAGTGTATAAATATATAGAATAATGCATATCATAAATACGTATTTATTTATTTAGTCGAGCAAAATAAGGTCCAGTAAAATAAATATATCTGTCTAAAAGAATGTATTAGTAATATTTTTTCGAAGCCAAAATAGAAATTTGATGACAAATAAAGTAAAACTTGCTTTCTTTATTTAAAGATTTGATGTAAAGAGAAGTAAGCTTTTGTAATCTGTGTACATTTTGCAATCATAAAAGAACTTTTACAATCGTATAATATCCTTTCATTTTCCAAGTACTTACTTATTTATATATTTGAAATAGAATTTTTCGACCGTTTATTTCACATAATGTAATAGAAGAATTTTCTACTCTTTGAAATTTGTAAAAAGTTTTGTAAACATCGTTGACTGTCATTCAAATATTTAGTATAATAAATATGAAAATGTTTCAACTTACTGTATGTAAGCTCTTATTAATAAAAAAAATTAGAACAATTGTTACTCTTGCCAAGGGCTTTATAATTTTTTTTTTCCATTTAATTTATTAATGTAGATGAGATTGAATTAATTAAATAATTGCTCCTTTAATAAAAATGAATTACTAGTAAGCTAACTTTCATAAATACATCATTTATCTATCTTTTCATTATTGTTATTTAAAATTGAATAGTATTAAGTAAACCTGATCATTATAATCATAATACATTTATAATTAATTCACTTTACCTAATAGACAATTAATATGTATGTGTAATATTTTAGTTTTTAAAATTATTAACTTAGTTTAAGTGTTCTCGAGTAATTATCAAACTTTATTGCTCCACAGTTATTCTTCAGAGGATTGACAAATTCAGAATATCCGAACTCCCGGTATAGAGAGTCTACAATTATAGTGAAAATAAAAGTTATATTATTAAAATCTAGTAAATCATAAATGTTGACCGTTTCAGTTGTTACGTATAAATGACGCGAGAGTCGAGAAAGTAAGGCATGAAGAGCTTTATTCGACTGGAAATTAATCTATATACTCATTTTTCCTTAATTAATATGCTCGCTTTTAACTAAAATTACCGATGCACACATGCACTTCTCTATTTGTCTTGTCATCGCATAATAATAATAATCGCAGCGCAAAATCCGATACTCGCACTGTCATACGTACGTGACATCATTTTCAAATTATACGAATTAATGTGTGTCTATGTTAAAATAAAATATCACCTGATCTAACTTACTATATGATATATATTATATACGGCTTTAGTCCAGATTTTAATTAGATTTTTTATCTAATGTAAATAATAGGCAGCGTGTGATATATTTTTATTCTTCGGTTAATCAAAGAAATTTAATAATACTATACTTTGTTTAATTCTAATTTAGTATTGTTCCGGTAAATTTGCTTTGATATAGCCAAGGATTTTTAACTTTTCAATTTTAATATTTGAATGCTCTACGAGGTTCTATTATTTCGCTATTATATTCTTGCATTCCATTCGCCTTCATTTACTTTATACAATTATTTTACTATATTAATTTTCCATTTCTTTAATTTATCTTTATCTCATTTATTATGTATCTTAAACTTTATATTTAACACTAAACATAAATTTTTAAACACCCATTTAGTATCTTGTTTTCTATAAATAAAGTATTTTCAAATTTTTTTTTTTCGGAAGACATAATTTTTATATTTTTTTCATTATATATATATATATATATATATATGTGTGTGTGTGTGTGTGTGTGTGTGTGTGTGCGTGCGTGTGCATGTGTGTGTGTGTGTGTGCGTGTTCACGAAATGTTTATAAATATACATTTTTAAAGTTTTGGGATTTTAAAATTCTTCAAAATTGTCAGCAAACTAGTTTCAAGATTTAAATTTAATGTCATTTTAGAAGTTAAAATTACACATGGAGACCACTTGACTGATATAACTAGTTTTAATACTCATACTTGTGATTTATAAACTTTTGAGGAAAACCGATGTGCCGTTGATTATCCTTAGGGGCTCCATTTATCTCTTTTCCTCATTCCGCATATTTTGTTTTTCACGATGGATAAATGACGTTGAAAACAGTCTAATGCTTATGAACATTTTTATAAGAAGTAAATAAAAAATAAATAATACATTCGTCTTGTAATGAGTCAATGAAAAAATCGATTCCCGTTCATAAATGTGTACGTACGTATATTTAAATCTACGGATACTCATTAGTAACGTATATCTCAATTTATAAAGTTTTTGCATCCTGCAAGTGTAATCTGATATATATATATATATATATTAGTATAGTTGTGCTTACTGAAATATACATGAAAATTATACATGAACATTAAATATGGTACTTTTTACATGGTGCCCCTGCGCATTTAAATATAAATGCACTGTGAATTCTGTTAAATATACTTGGCGATCAAAATATAAGATTATCATGAATTTTTATTTAGGAAAAATATCGTGATTGAAAAATTTTAGTGATATTTTAGGTTGTTTTACATAATAAAATGATGATTCGTTTCGTGTTAAAATAATTCAATTAAATAAAAATTGATTTAAAATAAAAGGTGTTTTTTAAGACTTAAGCAGTACTTTAATGAATTTTAATGAATTTTTTTGTTACAGAGATTATAGAAGGCGTTCGAAAAGGTGGTGGATCTCCTTTGAGGCCTTTCTTAGATGAAACTTCTGTAGACGAAGAAGTAAGTTTACTAATTAAATGAACCATTATTTTTTTTTTCAAAATTATCACTTTAATTATCTAAGTATCATTTATCATAAGAAATACGATTTTATAATATATAATTGTTTTTAAATTGCTATTTTTTATAAGTCTTGGCTTACATGCAAATTATTAATTACACATAGGTTGCATCATTGATGGATCGATGCTGGGCGGAGGATCCCGCTGGACGACCAGACTTTGCGGGCTTGAAGGATATTGTTCGTAAAATCAACAAGTAAGAATTCTAAAAGTTTGTCATCAATAAATTATGAAGCGTTTCAAATAGAACTTTAGAAATTGAGAAAAATGCGCAAAATTGATTAAAGAATCAATGGATTAATTGTAATATTACGTTAAGTGTTAAATTATCAATTTCTGTTGCCAACCATACGAAGGTATACATATATATATATATATATATATATATATATATATTTAATTATTACTATTCGATACTTAATGCTTATGAATAAAATTTTTTTCTCACCGACAAGAAATAAAATTATTACTATTTTAATTTTATAAAAACTATATATGAAATTTTTTGTCAAAAAATGATAGTGTATATTACAATTATCATATGGAGTAACTTTGAAGAATTAATGAGCATTTTACGAGAAACTTAACCTTGTTTTTGTTAAATTTGTGCAGAATTTATTCGGTTACGATTTGAGCGATAGTAATATATCCGAAGTAATTCTTATCAAATAGAAAGCAAAAAATTTTAAACTTCAGGAAAAATAGAAATTTCTTTAAGGTTGATAATTAATTTTAGAGAGAAAATAAAAGTCATTCGATTTATAAATGAAAATCTATCAGACAACTAATTCCTTCGTATTCGTACAAAATGCTAAAATTTTTGTACCTATTGTCTTTGATGAAATAAAGTAATGATGAATTTAATAAAAAATACAAGTGGAAAAGCAAACTAATGAGAAAATATAACAATTCGAGGATAATTAAGCACAAAACAAATATATAAAAAATTAACGCAAAAAAATGAAATTACCCCCTCCTTTTGATTAATAAAACACCATAAATAAGAAGAAAAGTCTATTGTATAGGATAAATTTTGCATAATACGCATGAATTAAAGCATAGAATAATAGAAAGAGGGTGAACAACACGCGGGGAAAATATTGACGTTGAAAGCCAGGAAGAGAAATCTTCTGCTTCCTCGAGTACGAGCTTACCGTAGGCATAATAAGTCTAGCTTCTATGATACGAGTGTGTACGTGGTTGAGTGCCTTTGCGTGACTGATCTCCCGTCAGTATTTCAGAAATAAAAGTGAAAGAGAATAGAGTGGAAGGGGTTCATGACAAGAGCGAGAGAGGGAGAGAGAGAGAGAGAGAGAGAGAGAGAGAGAAATAGAGAGAAAGAGAGAGAAAGATTGAGAGACACGGGAATGGGTCAAAAACCTCTAATATTGGCATACTTCCCGACTTTCTTATCGACCTTATCTTTCTCTCTTTTTCTACTTCTTTAACATTTCTTCAACACTTGGCATATATTTATACATGTGTGTGTGCGTGCGTGCGCGCGTGTGTGTGTGTGTGTGTGAAAGAGATCTTAGCCAAAATCCAGAAACGTGTATAATTGAGCATACTCAATTGTAATTTCAAATCAACATTTGTACATTAAAATATGTATATTATGATTGTATGATAAATACAAACGGGATATACGTTTATGAATTTCTTCATATCCAAATCATATAGACTTTATATTATATTATATTTTTTTATATTATATTGTATTATCTAATATTCTTATGTAGATTTTTTATTCTCAAAAAATATCGTTTTACTCATACATATAATTTATAATTGCATAATTTTCACTATATTAAGTTTTTTCTGATTAAAAGTTTAAATATTCAACAATATCTTTACATTATTCAATCGTTCTATTATATAATTATGAATATTAATTTAAATTAACATGTACAAAACAAAAATATATTTAACGAGTATCTATTTTATTTTCTACTTTAGTAAAAATTGTTAATAAATCATCACTAAAAATTAGATTTGTAATTTGCATGTGTACGGAATTGCTATTATTTCATTTAGTGACAAAATTCTGTAATATTTTAAATAAAAATTTACATTATTTTTATATTTTATTAGCATGAATCTATAATATATTAAAGTGACAATATTTGTATGTCAAATAAAAAAGATTTACTGTGTACTGTCAATATTTAGTTAAAAGTAAATGTAAAATATTTGTTAAAATGCTTAAATATAGGTTTAAAATACTTAGTTATTAGTTGAATATAAACTAAAAAATCATTAGATTTGATTAATATTAAATTATTAGGTATATAAAGTGTAATCGGATAATACACAATTTATTATTTTTCTATTATGAATAAATTCGATATATGTACAATTTAATGAAAATTCTGTTATATTTCTTAATTATATTCAATTTTTTTTAAAGATTCAGAGTAAATATTTAATTTAACAGATTTAAAAAAAGTTTATCTTATAATTATTATTGAAATTATACTAGTTTAAATATAATTTAATATATTTATTACAAATCATCTATTAATAAATAGATGCACAGTTATGATAAACAATAAATCTTGTATATATTAAAAATCTACTTAATATTTAAAATAATGCATATTTATACAACTACATACAACGCATTATGGCAAATTTAATTTGGATGTAATTTATCATTAATCATATACTAAAAGAATACAAATAATTTATTTTATAATTCTATTTTAAAATAAAATTTGCTTCGTATGGAAATTAATAAATATCTTGAGAATTTTTGTAGTGGTACAGGTAATTAATTATTATTTTGTCCAACTTGTTCAAATGGCATATTCGTCTTTAGCTATTAATAAAAGATAAATCTTATTATAAAAGTTTAAATCTATTCAGCAATACATGAAACTCTTTAGCTTGTTGAGTTACAAAATTGATCATATTAAACTAATTTCTACGAGATTTCTGAAATATTTTTTAAATTTATAAAAAACGTGTAATACGTTTATTTCTTAAAATATTTGTAACTAACTCACAACTAATGTAGAGAAATTTTTTCTCTCCCTTCATGTAAAGTAAATGTTTGCATAGTTCGAATATTTATACTACTGGAAATAAATTAAATATTTCATTGGCAATTATTTTTATTATAACAAAATATTATATTAAACATACAATTTTTCCATATAATATGATTTAACGTAAAAAATTATTTTCTTTTTTCATAAGACAATTCTTTTGCTAGAGATAACTATTTCAATCAAACCATCAGCGATATAATTTGTTCATTCTTAATTATAAAAATCTCTCGATGTTTCATATTTCATATTGCATATTTACGAGATTACTGAAATTATTTTAATATCAATTTACTCGATGACGTGTGAAAAATGGCGACCCTTACCAGTTAAAAATGAATTTTTCATCTCTGCTTTTGACTCGCGTCATTCGACAAGACTATTCATTTATTCTATGACTTTTGCAGTTGTAACGTACCTCTATCATGACAACTGAAACTACTTTTTCATATTCTTTATGCATACGACTAAAAGATCGTGTAACAGCGAAATGAGAATTAAACTTTCAATATTACTAAAATAATATTCAAAAATATTACTTTTTTTCCTACTACTCCGAACGATATAAATTAACAGTATGTAATAACTTGAATTAATCTTTGTAAAATATCAATATGACAATTTAATGATAAAGAAACAAGGGAACTTCCTGATTGTAATAATATGTATGAATAATCAATGTAACAATATATCTTCAATTAACATTATTATGAATATAATTCATAAAGAGCATGTGTTTTTATGAGGGATAAAATTGTTTTGACAAATAGTCCGAGCCATTTTAGTTATTAAGTTAACAATTATCAGATAATAGAAAACTAGATGATTAAACATTGCATTGAAAAACTAAAACTGAAGTCATTGTTTTAATAGACTAAAATTTCCGTACAAACTGTAAATTGTTTAATATTTACAAATTAGTAGCTATAATTAGTATTCTAACATTTACTGTATCTAATATTTATTATAAAATTAACGATTTATTTATTAATTCTCGTATTAGTATTCATTAGACGCAAAAATAAAATATACCAAAGAATAATGTAATATTGAAGTTTTTAATTGTAAAAATCATTAACAGACTACAGTTCTCTCAATTTACTACATAAAATAAAAATAGACACATAAGTAATTGTACATTTTGATTATTAACTTTCAAATTATATTTTTCAATTTTCGCAATTTAGGTTTATATCTAAATTTGTAATAATGTCTAGTATTAAAATAATTATATATATATTAATTATTCTCGAGAGAATTTCTCAAAATATATTTTATTACAACTGTATAATTAATTATACGATATAAAACTAATAGTTATTTCATATCAGAAATTAAAAGACTTTAATATATCAATATCACTTGCTTTATTATACGTAATATTACAATATTTTAATACAGCTATAATAATCTAATAATTGTATTTTCATATTATAAATAATAATATACCAAAATATTTTCATGCCTTTAGCTATTATAGTTATTGTAACAAAATATCGAAAGATATGATGAATAAATTTATATTATCATACATAACGAAATATTTCTTAATATTTTCAGGAACATCGTGTTAATAAAATTTAACATTTTGTTGTTTAGTGATTATCAAAATCATAGATTTTCATAAAATCACTATTAATCATGAATTCATAAATCCATTACTAATTTCCCAATTTCTATTCACATTTTTATTTCATCTCATAAATGTTTTATTTATTTATTAATTATTTTATTTATATTCTATATTGGAACATTTTAACGAGCATACAATTGGAAATTATTATAATTATTGAAATTTATTTAAATTAAGTTTATTTAGTTACATTTTTAATATACGATTTTTTATAATACAAAAAATTATTTTTAAAATTCAATGGTTAACTTGTTTTAAAAAATTGTATACTGATTAAAACAAATATTCGTTAATAATCGGCAAAATTATATGACGTAATTTTCAATTTATAGTTGATTTTAATTTCATTAATTTCATTCATTTAATAAATCAACATTTCTTAAAAAATATTCTGTTTCGCACAAAATATACGCTTTTGATTAAAAAAATTATTCACATTTTCTAAATGTATGTATAACAAAAATATTTTACATACAGTCTAAAAAAAAAAAAAAAAAAAAAAAAAAAATCAGTTAT